AGTGGACTCAATTTGCACTATTTCTGGCAGGCTGCAACCCCCCCTAGTTTACAATGCATGCTTTGCATATAAAAGACCCCACCTTCAGTCCCTGGCATCTCCAAGGAGATCCAAGAAAGACTTTTGTCTAAATCCTGAGATTGCTGCAACTATCCAATATCAGGATGTTTCCTATGTTCCCAAGACTGCAAAACCATAAGGCAAGACCACAGTTGTGGCAGATATATTTTGAATTGAGGTCTTATAGCAGAGTTGCCACTAGGACCAGCCCAAGATAATTACTGCCTAATGCAGAGCAACAAAGAATGTGACCCTGTTCACTCTAGTATCCACACAGGCAGCGTTATTTTAGTATCCAAGGACAAAAATCCCACCCAAAATTATTCCCATCCTTGCCATTAAAAATGGCAGATTTTGTGAATCTGTTATGTTTTCTGAATCTGCTGCCCGATATGGTTGCTTCCTTCTGCCTACTGCCCAATTATGCCTACTGCCCAATTATCATTGCAGACCCAAACTTCTAGACCTGAAATTTCTGATTTCTCTCTCTAAAAAAGGCATTTGCTACATCAAGGTACAGAGTGAGGGGAAGGTTGAAACTCAGAGATAAAACACCTGCTGAAAGTCCCAGATTATGAAAGACCTGTTCTCTGAAACTCTGAAGCACCAATGCCCAGTCAATGTAGGCAAGGCTAAGCCTGCTGGGTCAGCGGTTGCTTCAATATAAAGCAACATTTTACATGCCTAGCCCATACCCTCCAAAAATTCACAAATGAAAACTGGGACACACATGGATGAGCAGCATCAGAGTGTGATCAAGATGGCAAAAGTTACTAATGAATAAGAAAAGATAATCCAGGAGAAGTTACAGCAGTTTGCTTTTGCCTGAGCCTACCGAGAATGGCAAGATTCCACTCCCTACTCTCCTCTCCCCCATGCTCAATTAATTGAGCACAAACCCATTTTGTACTTTGAACTTAGTTTGCAGCAGTGGGAATAAGCTGAGAACAAAGGGGGAAATAGCAAAGCAAAGCAGCTTCATTTATATACCGCTTCATATCACGCATGGGATGTCTAAGCGGTTTACAACTGTGAGCTGATTGCCCCCCACAAGCTGGGTACTCATTTTAGCGACCTCGGAAGGATGCAGGCCTGAGTCGAGCCCCAGCCCTGGCTGGTATTGAACTCGCAACCTTGTGGTCTATGAGTGAGTGGCTGCAGTACAGGCATTTAACCACTGCGCCACCAGGGCTGTATAGGAAAAGGAGATAGAAATTGGGACATTTTAAAAGCAGTAAAAAGCGGGATGAAAGGGAATTTTTTGTATGGTGGGTAAAAACATATATTTCAATCAATAGAGCATACAAAATCTTGAATACAAGGTCTAGGTAGTAACGTCCAATACTGGTCATCCTTCAGCCAAACCTTTAAATGTTGCCAAATCAATTTCTTTGGAGTTAGAAGCCAGAGGATACTACGGATGGGAATGGATGGTCCCCGGAACTTGCTAAATTCAGGGTAAAGTGGTGGTCTGCCTGGTTTGGTTCTGAAATTCAGGCTTGAAGTTTGGATCTGATACCTTTGTATCTTCTGCTGTGATGGAGATTGAGACTCTAGAGAGTGTTAATATATGGAGATGTTATATGGCCTGTTCTTCCAAGCAGAGCAGCATCAACACAAGAGAGAATAGCAGAAAAGAGAACTACCCAAGCCAATCTAATCCCTTCCACAGCCATTCTCACAGTTTGAAAATAGGGCACAAATCCACTTCCTGTCCAGGTAGAAAACAGACAGGGATCGTTCCCCTTGCCATTTCAAGGATAGCAAGTTGGAGGTACAGCCACAACTACCTTCTTCTACCTTTAAAATATTGGAAAATCTTTTATTAAGGCTGATATTTCCCTTTAGCCCATTGTGTATGCATTAAATCATTAGCCACTGGGAACTAAAATGGAAAACAGCTAAATAAGAACTCCATTTAATTATATTTTTATCTCAATTTGTCTTGGTATTTATGAGTAGCAGAAGTGCTTTTATTAAAGCAAGGGGCTAATGAACAAGGTCTGAGTGGATCAATTAATCTGACACTGCCAAGCCTTGAAATACATTGGAGAGGTGCGCACACAGTCACAAATGGATAACAAAGAAACTAGTAAAACAGTTTACTTGAAGCAATCTACTATATTTTTAAAACAAATATAATTTGCTTTATTTGCTTCTCCTCCCTCCCACTTGCCCCTTACTAATACTAAAATCACTTTGGAAATAAAATGTTTTACCCAGCATGGCACTAGCTTTTTAAAATAACGAATATACTCTCATTCTCATTTATTGAATTTTGATTAAGGTTTCATTCAGCATTTCTAATCTATCCATCTAGCCAGTGGTTTTGCTGATTATCACTAGAGTGTATGTAGGCTTTATTAACAAAATATCTTGGGCTTCGGTTATTGTCATTGTTGTTGTTCTTAAAGCTCTGGTCAGTAGCAGCTGGTGGCTTCCACAGAAGGAAGGAGAGAGGTAGAATTATAGAGTTGGAAGAGACCTCAAGGGCTATCCAGTCTAACCTCCTGCCATGCAGGA